TGAGGGTACAGGACTGTAAATGTTCTCACTTGCTGCCTTCTAGTTTACAGGGCTTTCCTCAAACTTGGCTGCTTTGTGTGTTGTGGATTTTAGCTTTATTCCCTGATGCAGATTGTGGCAGTATCTTTGCCTGGTCATCGGTGTCACCTCACTCATTAAAAATGACATCTCCTGTCTCCAGGTTGTTGTGTTTACAACTGGGGCTACATGAAATGTGTTACACACCTTGAGCAGCAGGCATCACACAGAGCAGCTTGTTCCCAGAGCTCATCCCTTGCCACACCAGTGTGACAACAGAGGGATTTTCCAACCATCTGAGGGGGTGTGGGGCGTTCAGGCTGCCTTGTGTCTGCGCTGAGGGACTCCACGAGTCCCTGCCCTGCAGTCCTGTGCAGCTCGCTAGCTCTCCTTCCAGGCTTGATCCTTGCTTTTTTTTTTAGTTTCCTGCTTTCCTTTGGACTTGGTTTAATATCCCTGCCCCTTTGCTGCCGTCCCAGGTCGGCAGGAGGATGGACAGGTGGCTGTGGATGCTCGGTGCCAGCCGTGTGATGACCCGCGCCGAGGGCGACTGCAACGTGGCACAGAGCAGGCACGGCAGCATCGAGGGCGACTTCCAGGCCTGGAAAGCCAAATTCCTCACTCGGCTCCAGGCCCTCTGCAGGGGGGAGAAGAAGCCCTGCAGTGGGAAGTGCAAGAAAGGGAAGTGCAAATCTCCAGGGAAGCAGAGCAAGGAGAGCTCGGATCACGAGCGCGGGGCATCGGAGCACGAGAACACTGAGGTACAGCCACAGTCCTTGAGGCCTCAGGAGTGGGTCAGTGCCCCCTCAGCTTCTCTCCTTCCTCCTCCAGCCCACAGGCATGCTGTGGGAGCCTGACACTTTGTTCTGGAGCAGAGGGGGATGAGGGATGAGAACCCATGGCTGATAATATGTGGAATGAACCATCCAAAAAGAATTAGTGCTGGACCCAGCTAAGTGAGGGTGTCTTCCTCCTGACTGGGGTGAAGTTTATGTTGTGGCAGATGCTCCAGTCTGAGTTCTGGGTTCTCATCAGAGCCTTTGCTTTGTCCCATGGCCAGGTGAAGCATTTAGTTCCCTGAGAGCAGTTAACCTGCTTCCACTTCATCCTGGTGCAGCTTAGCTTGTCTGCCTGCATCCCAAGGTTTTTCCAGAGGCAGCTTGGGGAGTGTTACCTGGGCAAGTCCTGTATTTCCTCTGTATGTATCTGCCTGTATTCATGTAGCTGGAGTGTTGATTGCAGATTTTGAATAAGAAATCTGCAGATTTGCAGATTTTGAATAAGAAATCCTCTTTCCTGCTCTCCAGTGCAAGATCCAGAGCTGCCGTGGCACTTTAACCTTCACTCAAGCCATTTATTGTGGGTTGGGAATGTTTGCTGTGGCCTTGGGGAATTTTGTAGGACAATAAGTGTCTCTTCTGGCTGAGTTTGGGAGTGCTGGCTGCTGCAGGGGCAAGAGGAATAAATCTTGCTGTTACACCAGAGCTGTTTTGCTATACCTTGGATTTGTACAGAAAGAGAGAAACCTTTCTGCTCTGTGGAGAGTTTACCTTGGAAAGCAAATCCCTCTCTCCCTGTTCATTCATCTAGGAGCACTTAAAGGGTTTAAAGGGCTTCAGGCTTCCATGTACATCCTTCAGGTTATTAGTAGGATATTCCTTGTTTTCAGAGGTCTTCACTAATAGTTATCTCACTTAGATAAAAGGTGTTATGTTTAACATTCAGATAAATTCTTAATTGTTTTTCTCTGATCTCTCCCACAGGCAGAGGAATTGTTTGAAACCAGTAGTGAGGAGGAAGCTGATGCTGAGGAAGCTGGAGGCACCAATTCTATCATTGATGTTGAAGATCTTGGCAATATCATGGGCCACATGAAGAAAGCAAAGGTACTGCTGTTCCTGTGGGTATGGAATGGTCAGGTCTTTGCCACTGATCAGTTGGATTGTTTAAAATATTATTGCCTGGATGTGAATCTGTAGGGTTTGGTTGTGGGAGAGTAAAATACGAGCTCTTGGAGAGCCTGTCCCAAAAAGTAACATACTTTGGAAGTGTGCTGGATGTAGGTACAGACCAACTGTGACTTGTTCCCCAAGCAGGTGCTGCAGTGGTAAGGTGTTGTTTTCAGTCTGAGGGAATATTTACACCAACCTCTGTCTGTAATTACACCTTCCTTACCTTGGGAGCCTCTGCAGTGTGGGCTTCCCACGGCTCTTCCCCAAGATGAGCCCCTGGCACAGGTTGCCCAGAGAAGCTGTGGCTGCCCCTGGATCCCTGGAAGTGTCCAAGGCCAGGCTGGATGGGGCTTGGAGCAACCTGGGCTAGTGGAAGGTGTCCCTGCCCATGGCAGGGGGTGAGATGGTCCTTAAAGTCCCTTCCAACCCCAGCTGTTCTGGGATTCTGTGAAAATACAAGGATTTCCTCAGTGGTCTGAGCTGAGATGGCAGCACTGGGACACCCCAAGCCAGGCCCTGCCTGACAGGAGGCTGTGTCTGGGGAGGGGACAGTGCTACAGGGAGGGCATTGGCATCTCTGTTCCTCTCCTTAGGGAAGGGGAAGGAGGTAAATAAAACAATTCTGCTGTTTGTTACAACCTCTGTGAGGAGAGCAGCCCCACTGACCTGAAGGCAAGGCAGGCTCTTGGGAGGGGACTCTGTCCCTGAATTGGGATGGACTTGTGCACTGCAGCTGGTGAGGGGAGGGTGGCTGACCCTTTGGCTTTGATCTGGAGGGAGAAAGGATCAGTGTTTTCCCGGTGGAACTGTGGTCCTTTCCCCTCTCCCTCCTTCACTCACCACTAGAGGTCAGCGGCCAACAGGGAACTGCTGAATCCTGGGCCCAGGAAAGGGACGTGGTGACATCCAGCAGTTCTGTGCAGAATTAGGCACTGGTTTTTCACCGACTGACAAAATGTGGCAACACCATGATGGAGGAGTAGAGTAATGCAGGAAAACCACGTGTCATAGCCCAGTTTGTGAATAAAAAGTGAGCACAGCAATAAAATACTTCCTGCTCTTCACTTCTCCAGCTCGTTGTGCTGGTGGTGAGCAGGGCTGAAGTCACTGTGGTGTGGGTTTATACACAGGCAGTGGAGATTCCCTGCTCTCTGTGCCTTTGTTTAAACATTCAAACCACTTTCTCCTCAGCTTTCTTGCTGCTCTGCCCGGGCAGTGGGAGGCCTGTGTGTTGTACTTGCAATTCTGTAGTAACCTCTATGTCTGTGTTGATCAGGTTCCTGTGGCTGTGACCCAAGTGCCTGCCCCTGATCAGTGGGGCAGCTGCTGTCTGAGCACAGACACTGCCCTTGAGTTGAGGTGTAGTTTGTCTGAGCACAGACACTGCCCTCGAGTTGAGCTGTAGTTTGTCTGAGCACACTCATCTCAAGTTGAGCTGCAGTTTGTGTCTGAGCACAGACACTGCCCTCGAGTTGAGTTGTAGTTTCTGAGCACAGACACTCCCCTCGAGTTGAGCTGTAGTTTTTATCTGAGCACAGACACTGCCCTCAAGTTGTGAGCTGCAGTTTCTGAGCACAGACACTCACCTGAAGTTGAGCTGTAGTTTCTGAGCACACTCACCTCAAGTTGAGCTGTAGTTTTTATCTGAGCACAGACACTGCCCTCAAGTTGAGCTACAGTTTGTGTCTGAGCTCACACACTCACCTCAAGTTGAGCTGCAGTTTCTGATCCTTTGAGCTTTTTTCTTGGAGGAGATGGCAAAGATGTTCTGCTGTGCCAGGTGAATGCTGCCCTCTTGCAAATGGTTAAATCCTGAGGGTGCAAGTGTAGGTGTGGAATTGAAAGTTCACTCTCAGCGTGCCTGGAAGTGTCCTGGCCCTTTGGGATATGAACTGTTGTCAGCTGATGGACAGGAGGCCCTAAAACTTGGATCAGCCTTTGTCACTGGTGCCACAGAAGTGTGCTGCTGTGGGCATGTCCTTTTATTTTTTTTTTTTTGGATTAAATTTAAGACCTTAAAAGCTGTAGTTCTCATTACTGGCCCCTTTATTCCCGTTCTGCATGGCACATCTGCCCAGCTGCAATCCACAGTTCTGGTTTCATGCTCCTGCAACCAGAGCAGGGAATGGAGAAAGGGCTTTCTTGGGGTGCGTGGGATGATGTGTCAGCATTCCAGGAGGGAGCCTGAGCTGATGGCTGTGCCTGGGAGGAAGGATGGCTTTGTCCTGGTGCTGACTCTGCTGGGGAATGTGCACATGGACAGGTTTGTGCAAACCCTCGAGCTCTGAGAGGACCCCATAGGTGCAGTTCTTTACTGTGATAAAAATGAATGCTGAGGACTGGGTATGAGAGAGCAGATGATCTGCATTTATGACAGCAATTCATCACAACCAGGCTCTCTTGCTGCCAGGCAGGAAGCTGTAGCTGTTCAAATCCATCTCAGTTGAAGTCCCATCCTCTCTTTGGAGGCTCTGAGTTTGTGCAGTGAGAATTTTCCTGTGTCAGGTGAGTTGTGCTCTCCTTTTAGTCATCTTTCCTCTCATGGAATTCTGAACAGCATGAAATTAATCTGACATTTATTTTACACTGAGGTAACTTGTTGCCCTGCAGTAAATCCTTACCCCCACAGGGGTTTCTACCTGAGCTATTCACATACAAGTTTGAGAGAAACTTGTGTGTCTTCAGGGTTATATCACAGGCAGTTCTTCATCCTCAGAGTTACTTGGATTTGGAGTGGGCAGAAGGGTTTCCAGCACGGGTTTTTTGGGTGTCAGTGTTGTGTGGTCACCCCTCTGCACGTGGGGGGTGGGACAGCAGGGCCTGCCTCGTGCAATGTAGACAATTTGAAATGTTTTAAGGCCCAGCTTTGACCTCTTCTGTGTTGCCTCTTGTGTGATTCACTAGCACAGATGGTCATAATTCCTTGTCCTGCCTTTTCTGGGCTGGCAGTGAGGCTGTGGAGGTGAGTGTGACTAATAAATGTCCACTCACATCTCTGCAGGTCATCTTAATTTAATTTTGCATCCATCTCTTGTTACCTGACTTGATGGAAATCAAGGCTGAGTTTTCTTTTACAGCTTTTTTTTTTCCTCCCACATGCTGCAGGCTCATTGCATTTTGTAAAGTATTGTCAGAGGGCTTGGAGCAGGCCCTGCCTCCTTGCAGTCATTTGGATCAGGCAGGTGGATTCAGGAGTTCAGGGGAATGCCAAAACCTCTCTTCCTGCTTGAGTTGCAGCTATTCCATACTCTCCCTTAGAGAAGAGATGGAGTTTTAAAGAGCTGCTGAGGGTAAAGTTCCACAGTTCAGGGTGATGGTGCCTCCTGCACGTGGAATCTGAGCACAAAAATTTGCCCCAAGGTCGGGTGTATATTGGTAATACATTCAAATATATTAAATGCCAGCTGATACAACAGTAAATCCCACCCTTAGTGCACCAGATCCTATAATATGTGGTGGTGGTTCTTGGTGGATTTAAGAACTAGGCAGATTTTGAGTTTTACAGTTGGGCCACACTTTCACTGTCCTCCAGAGTTGCTCCCCTGGATGTATTTATCAGGTGAAAGTGAACTCTAAAGGGTGTGTTTGTGGCCTGTAAGATGTTATTAATCACAGGGACACCAGTTCTTGCTGCAGATTATCTCCCCCAGCTGGGAGATTGATCTGTCTCTCTAGTTATCACAATCAAGACTCATTCCCAGGGAATGGAATGACTTTATTAACCTTCACATTTATAAACTTCAGCCGTGAGTAACAGCAATAATAATATCCTAATTCCTTCTTTGTGATGGGCTGGGAAGTAATCAAATGGGCATGTTTTGTTGACACAATTTTGAGATTAATGCTGTTTTGTTCTGAAACAAAAAGGTTAATGATGCAGTATAGATAGAGAGGGGGGTGTTCAAGGAGTTTCTATGTCCATTTGCCCCAGGAGAGCTTTCCTGATCCCCTTTGGCACTGTTCCCCAACAAGTCAGCCATGTCCCACCACTGTGACTGTAAATCCCACCTCTTCCAATGCTCCCTAAGAGCCCCTGGAGTGTGTGGCAGCTGTGGGAGACCAAATGTGGGGTGAAGGAGCTCCTGCTGAAGCTGCCTGGGGTGTGCTTGGAAGGGGGCAGTGGGCATTAAGGGATTTAAGGCACAAGGTTTACAGACCAACTTGGTGCTGCAGGTAGAAACTTTTTAAGAGTCTGAAAGAATCATTAGCCATATTTTAACCAAATGGAACAAAGTTTGGGTGCTTCACTGTCAGTTCAAATGGATGTGCACATTTAGAGCCTCTCCAAAAACTTTCAATGGGTGGAAGATTCCTTTGTGACAAGTGAGCCCTTCTCTGCAGCAGCTCAGTCTCTGGATTTTGACCTGTGCTACTCTGGCTCAGAATTCAGTTTACATTTTAAAATAAGCTTTAGAAAAACCAGAATTTAACTTCTTAGGGACCACTTCCAGCATGAAATCTGGATTTGTCACAGGGACACTTCACCCTTCTCCTTTCCTCTGTTCAAATCTTTATTCTCTGGCTATTGGAAAGAACTGTAATTCCTAAACAACGTTACAAGAGATCTTGAGGTTTGCTTTTTCTGAGTAAGGCTTGTGAGTGCCCAAGGGGAAAAAAAAGAAGGGAAAAAAAGCCCTAAAAATAACTTTAAAGGTAACCTCTGGCTGGATGTTCTGAGTGTGGTGTGATAGTGGCTTCCTTTGTAAGGGGATTTGAGATCTCTGAATGAAAACTGCTTGCCCTGAGGGTAGATCCCATATCCTGTGTTGTTCTTTAGTGGGTTGTAAATTAATCTGTAATTGGTTGGTGAAGCAGAGCTGAGAGATATAAAAAATGCTGGCAGACTGAAGTGCCCCTTGAGTGTTTGGCTTCCTCTTTATTTGCAACCTTTTCTTGACCACATCCATTGTTGGAGGTGACCAGCACTGGCCCTG